TGACATCAGCAAAGTTGTTCTGCAAATACCTGGAATTTGTATTCTACATCATTTAACTCTTCTAAAAGGAGCTCTGGACTTGTTCGTAGAATTTTTGATACTTGTGCCATTGTGAAGAGACATTTTTCTTTAAGGAGATTCTCTAGGGCTTTGATTCTCTTGGGTGGTATTGTAAAAATACTTGGAAAATGTACTGCCACATGGTTAACGCTGCCTATTAAAATAGGAGAAAAGAGATAAGATAGTGCTGACTAAAATCCTCTATTCTTTCTCTTTAATCAAACCCATGTATCCCTAGCAATATTAAGAGCAAACTAGTATATTTTTAAGATATAATTTTCCCATGTGTTTCACATAATGCCTAAGCATGTTCTCTCTAAATAATGCATTTGGATAGTTCTGGGTCTATATTAGTACATTATCCCAGTTATGTACTTAATTTACTGCTCTTCAGTGCAACAATAGCAATAGCACTTAGACTTATACACTGCTTCGTAGTGCTTTACAATCCTCTCTAAGCAGTTTAGAGAGTCAGCATATGGCCCCCAACAATCTGGGTCCTCATTTTACTGATCTTGGAAGGTTGGAAGGCTGAGTCAACCTTGAGCAGGTCAGATCGAACTGTTGGCAGTTGACAAATTAGACTGCAATACTGCATTCTAACCGCTGTGCCACCATGGCTATTTCATGTGAAATATTTCCACGTTGGCCATTGCTTACAATTCCTTAGTGATATACATAGCACAAATGTTCTTTGTGTGTGTGTTTGTATTTACAAACAACCAAAAATAGAACTTTCTTTGATTATTCCATTAAAAAAAGCCTGAATGAAAGATGAATTATCCTTGAAAGATGAATTATCCTTTTTCTATTTGATTTTAAAAAGATTTCACTGAGCAAACATTTTAAAGATACAAATCATTATTTTAGTGATTTGATTTCCCCTTTTTTATAACCTATGCCATAAGCATTTGAAAATGTATAATTTTACTCTTATCTTTCAAATGAAGCTAGTAAACAAATCACCTTCACTAAGTATCTTTTTCCCCTATAGCCCCAGGACATCGGACCTCAATCTTTTCACCACTGAATTTCAACATAATTTCAAAAAACAGCAAAAATATCAAAATAGATGTTTAAGGATAACAGAAGCTTAAAGCACTTGTTCAACCCAATTCTAGGATCTCTCCCAGAAGTGTATGTGTGTGTGTGTGGCAAAATAATCCCATTTTGTCGAGTGACAGCACTACTCTAGACTCTTTAATCCTCTGAGATGCCCACCAAACCCCCAAATGTTTATTCTGTCAGCAAAAAAGGTTATGCTGAAATGAAAGATGGTGGGTGAAATATCCTAATATTCTCTTTTGGCAAGCAATTGGCACCTATATATAAGAAATTCAGTGTAGGTTAAGGAATTGATCCAGAAACATGTGTAGCTATTTGGAGCAATTTGATAACTATCCGTTGACTGCGTATGATTAACTGAACATGAACATTTTCCTTAGGAAAACTGAATATATTGTGGACAGAATCTAAACAAATTAGAACTAAATAATTCACTCAATTCAGTGTATAAATTCAGTAACTGTACAATTCAGGGAAAGCATTACCTGCATCTAAGCCAAATCTCCTCAGAAGATCTGCACGTTCCTTCAAATGTTTTGGTGACATTTTCAGCAGTTCAGGCTTCTTTTCTAAGATCTTCAGTATTGTGGTTATGCTTAAACCCAATAGGAGTAATTCTGAAATTGCAGTCAATTTTGACTGAAATGGTACATCCAGCTGCAAGCTAAATAGCTGTGTTATCTGAGCAGGACTGAATCCCAGGTTAACATAAGCATTTGTCTCCTCTTCTAGTTTCAAATGGTCCACATCAATTGCTTTTACTTCTTCTACTGGTGTATTAATTAAAGTTTCTTGGGGCTTTGGAGAGCACTCATAATTTGACCTATAAGGGGGCAGACCTTTTTTGCTTTGTACAAAAGATCTGGTACTAATCAATCTGCAATCTAGGTGTTGATGAGACCAGCAAAATGTAACTGGTAGTACACTGACAGAAGGTAAATGGATATAGTCATAGGCAAAGGGGGGAAAGCTGTATTTCTCAAAAATCTGCAAAAATAGATTTAAAAAAGCAAACATAATTGTATTTTAAAGGAAAGAACATGTATAGCTGCCAACAGATCAAATGTGCTTGCCAAAACTAAATTAAAACCACTCTCACACCATAATTTATCAAATATTAAATTTAACATAACTTGCCTCCCAATTTACCTTATTTGAGGTATTTAATTACAGTATCCCTGTATTTCAGACCATTAAATTTGTCACTACAGAAACAGTTGTTCAAAAAGTGTTACAGTTTATACTGAATATAACCACTTTTAAGCCTAATTTAAATCACAAAGGCCAAATATGTTCACAAATAATAGGTGGGAGAGAAATCTCTTGGTTTTGGTCAACAACAAAACAAAAAGAAAACTTTTCTGCATAAATTATCAAACATTAAGTAGTAATATATATATATAAAGTGCTCCATTTTGGGATATTTCAAAATTGTATTTAAATGAAAAATATTCTGTAGATAACATT